GAAGTTCGAAATGGATACTACAGCCTACGACCGAAAATTGTCTGTGCAGGTCCACGTCTTCGTATAGCCCCTATATAACGCTACATCCCGATATTCGGTATTTTGTTGATTTTAGCGACGTTTTTCACCAGAATTTTTTCATATTTGATATTTGAAGTTCGTAGTGGATACTATAGCCTACGACAGAAAATTGTCTGTACAGTTCCACGTCTTCGTATACCCCCATATAACCATAGCCACCATGCCACCCAATATTCGGTATTTTGACGATTTTAGCATCATTATTCACCGGAATTGTTTCAAATAACGTATTTAGAGTTCGTTATGTGAACTACAGTCTGTGACAGAAAATTAAGTATGCAGGTCCAGGTCTTCGTGTAGCCCCCATATAACGGTACCTCCCGATACTCGGTATTTTGATGATTTTAGCGACATTATTCACTGGAATTGTTTCAAATTTGGTATTTGAAGTTCGTAATGGGAACTACTGTCTGTGACAGAAAATTGTATTTACAGGTCCAGGTCTTCGTATAGGTCCCATATATCAGTACATCCCTATATTCGGTATTATGACGATTTTAAGTAAAATATATCCACCGAAATTGTTTGAGATATCGTATTTGAAGTTCGTATTGGATGCTACAGCCTGTGACAGAAAATTGTCTGTGCTGGTCCAGGTCTTCGCACAGCTCCGTTATAACGGTACCTCCATATATTCGGTATTTTTTGTGATTTTAGCTACATTATTCACCGTTTATTTTAAATTTCGAATTTGAATTTGGTAATGGCTTATGACAAACAATGCCTATGTATGTCCACGTCGCATAGACCCCAATATAACGGCTATATTCGGTATTTTTAAAATTTTAACAGAATTTTTAAAGATTTTATTTTTTTTTTGAAAATTTCCAAATTCGCTCCAAATGGTGGAGGGTATTCAAAGTTCTGCCCGGCCGAACTTACTGCTTTTTAACATGTTTTTTTTAATTTTTTTTTCTATCACCCACCCATGTAATTTGCCGTGGCACCCTTTACATCTTAGTGAAACTTTCAATTGTGCTTAGATTTCTTAAAAAAAAACTCACAATAATCGCTACATTGTCATCTACGATGACATCAATGTAAAACATTAATTTTTATGAATGTGTTTGTATGTAAGTTTTTTTTGTAATTAATTATTTTTGTGGGTTCTAGTGTGAAATGAATTAAGAAATTTTTTTGATTTCATGGCAATTAGTTGATAATCAAATGGCTTATTAATTCAGGGTGTCCTCCTCCCCTTTCCATTAAAACAAAATATGTATTTAAGACATTGACAGTGAAAATTACCACCCTACAATTAAAGGTATACCTTTCTGTCAGATGGGTAATTAATATGTCTGTCACTATATGTTAATTTGGGTATGGATTTTTTTTTCGAATGAATGAAATAATATTTGAAAAAAAAACAACAATTTGACTGAAGAAATTGTATGATGTTCGATACAACTCTGCTGAATATGTTCCCGCCAGCAAGTCCTAACTCGGAGGAAAAAGTTAGAGCTCTTTCAAAATGATGAGACCAAGGAAGAGGAAATGCTTAGTATTCCATCACAGTTGGCCGAAACCGAATACTACTCGAATTAAATTGTGGCCTGATAATAGCTAATGCTATCTGTTCGCGCGATGCCAGGACAAATGAACCCAAAAAAAAAGAAAAATAGAAAATAAAAACGAGTTAAAAAGTAGTAAGTTCGGACGGGCCGAACTTTGAATACACTCCACCATTTGGAACGAATTTGGAATTTTTCAAAAAATAACATCCTAAAAAAAATTCTGTTAAAATTGTAAAAATACGGAATATAGCCGTTATATTGGGGTCTATACGACGTGGACCCCAACATACATAGGTATTGTTTGTCCTGAAAATAGCTAATGCTATCTGTTGGCGTGATGCCAGGATTAACCCAAAAAGAATAGAAAATAAAAACAAGTTAAAAAGCAGGAAGTTCTGCCGGGCCGAACAGTGAGTACCCTCCAACATTTGAAAAGAATTTAGAAATTTTCAAAAAATAAAATCCATTAAAAATTCTGTTAAAAACTTAAAAATACCGAATATAGCCGTTATATTAGAGTCTCTACGAAGTGAACCTACATGCGCATTGTTTGCCATAAGCCGTTACGATATTCAAATTCGAAACTTTAAATAAACGGTGAATAATATAGCTAAAATCATCAAAATATCGTATATAGGGAGGTACCGTTATATCGGAGCTGTGCGAACACCTGGACCAGCATAGACAATTTTCTGTCACAGGCTGTAGCATCCATTACGAACTTCAAATACTACATCTCAAACAATTTCGGTGGGTATTGTACCTAAAATTGTCAAAATACCGAATATGGGGAGGTACTGATATATGGGGCCTATACGAAGATCTAGACCTGCATAGGCAATTTTCTGTCACAGGCTATAGCATCCATTACGAACTTTAAATACCAAATTTAAAACAATTCCGATGGATAATGTCACTAAAATCATCAAAATACCGAATATAGAGAGGTACTGATGTATGGGGCCTATGCGAACACCTGGACCTGCATAGACAATTTTCTGTTACAGACTGTAGTTCCCATCACGAACTCTAAATACGTAATTTAAAACAACTTCGGTGAATACTGACGCTAAAATAATTAAAATACCGAATATAGGGAGGTACCATGGGGGTTATAAAACGTGGACATGCACAAACAATTTTCTGTCATAGGCTTTAGTATCCATTACGAACATCAAATACCAAATTTGAAACAGTTCCGGTGAATAATGTCGCTAAAATCATCAAAATACCGAATATAGGGAGGTACTGATATATGGGGCCTATACGAAGATCTGGACCTGCATAGACAATTTTCTGTCACAGACTGTAGTTCCCATCACGAACTCTAAATACGTAATTTGAAACAATTTCGGTGAATAATGTCGCTGTAATCATCAAAATACCGAAAACTGGGAGATACCGTTATATGGGGGCTATACGAAGACGTGGACCTGCACTGACGATTTTCTGTTATGGGCTATAGTATCTATTTCGAACTTCAAATATCAAACTTGAAACTATTCCGGTGAATAATGTCGCTAAAATCATCAAAATACCGAATATCGGGAGGTACCGTTACATGAGGGCTATACCAAAACGTGGACCTACATGGCTCATTTTCAATACCAAAAGTCCTGCAGACATAACATACATTTGAGCAAAATTTTATCAATCTACTTCAATTCGTTCGGAAGCTAGAGTGATTTCAACAGACGGACAGACGGACGGACGGACGGACATCGCTAAATCGACATAGACTTTTATCCTGATCAAGAATATATATACTTTGTGGAGTCTTAAATGTATATTTCGAGGTGTTACAAACGGAATGAGAAACTTAATATACCCTCCATACTATGGAGAAGGGTATAAAAATATTCTTTGGATATTCGGTGTCAGCAACTACAAAATCACAAATACGCACCGAAGGTCTCATCCTTTTCAGTGGATATGGGGAAGATGAGTGCGACGATGATTCTAGAGGAAAAGAATGCATTGAAGAATTAAGAAAAGCGGAACAAACTTCTCTGGTTCCGTTTTCTGAAGGGCATTACGAAAGAGAAATCAATAGCAAATCACTAATGGACGTAAAAAAATTGAACTTTTTGGATAGTCACAAATCACAAATCGCCAAGAATTGTGAAGGTCAGAAAGTTGAGGCCGGTAGATAAAAGTGCTGGTTGTGGCGAGAGAGGCTGGGCAACGAAGTAGATTCGTTTCCTGGAAGCCATTACCTAGCAGAAGGCTTATATTGGTCCCTGGACTCTCCAAAATGGTCCTTGAACTCTCCTGAAAATCTTTGAGATATTTAAAAGTGGCATTCGACTCTCCACACTAAAAATAGTCCTTGGAATCCTAAGAAAGATTTTACTAAATCCTTGGATCCTTAAAAGAATCCATATTCTTGGATACTTGTCCTTGGACACATGACCAAAGGCCACATTTTAAACCGCCCTAGAATGCTTTTAGAAATTTTTAAAATCGAAAAAAAAAAATATTCGACTTTTTTAACAGTCCCATTAACAACATCTCAGAAAACTTAGAAAACCCAAATTGGTTTCAGAAATGTTTGAAAAAAACCCATAATGTCCTGGAATCCTTTCCGAGATATTATTTTGTTCAATATTTTATTCTTCTTTAAATCTTTCAAGAAATTTTGAAAATATCGACCATAAAATCCCTTAAAAATTTTTAAAAATCGGAATTTTTGAGATATTTTTAGGAACTTTGCATAAATCTGATGGGAATCCCTTTAAAAGTCATTAAAAAAATCCACGCTTATGGGAGTCCTTGTTTCCTCCCATAAATCCAAATTTAAAAATGTCCTTGTTGGGTGGAGCATCCAAGAACTATTAAAAAATATCTAATTTACAGCGGTTCATGGATCCTCCACATGAGTTTTGCACCCAGAGTGGTTCCATACCCCCAACCTTATCCCCATAAAGGGCTATAAAACAGTGAATAACAACAGAAGGCTCGCGTGCCATCAATGAGTGCAATTTTCTGCACACTCACAGTCCGACCCATTTAAAAACAATGCAATCCGAGAGTAAAAAATTTGAGAGAGCATAAATGTGAGAATCTCTCTCTCTCTCTCTTCCCAGCCTAGCTATAAAAGCAAAAACATGCTATGATACTAAATTTTTCCATCCATGATCCGGGTAAGATCACTTTTCCTCATTTTGACAAAACAATGCAATCCGAGAGTAAGAAAAATTGAGAGAGCATAAATGTGAGAATCTCTCTTTCTCTCTACCCAGCCTAGCTGTAAAAGCAAAGACATGCTATGATACTAAATATTTCCATTCCTGATCTAAGCAAGATCACTTTTCCCCATTTTGAAGAGAGAGAGAGATAAAGAGAGCGAGAGAAATATGAAGAGAAAGCCATCAAGAAAATGTTATCTCTTTAAAAAAAACTTACCGCTATTAATGCAGCAACTGAGCGCCACGACAATCAGTAATCCACAACATGTTAGAGATGAGGATAACCCAGCAAACCATGATGACACGGCCATGTAGGAGGTCATCGATTTGGAGGATTTTCTACGTTTTGTCGAGGTAATGACCTGACGAGATGTTTTCATAAATTTTCGATGTGTTGCAGTCGGTTTTGTTGTTGGTAATCCATTATTGTTGTAATCCATTGTGAACGTGGAAATGCAGAGGAAAGAGTGGGGCGTTAATGTTTTGAAGAGTGAAATGTTTAAATGTGTGTGGGCGGGCTTTTTTTTCAAATAATAAACATGAGCAGCTTAGGCTTCAGGTGGGCTAGACGTGATGCAATTTTTACGAAAATAGAGGACTATTTTTTTTTTTTTTTTTTTTTGATGAATGAAATTATTTTTCAAAAACGTTTTAAAAATGTTAAAATCATATTTTCCTTTTTGGGAACTTTTTTTTCTCGTTTGTCCTCTATTTACTGATGTTGTTGTTTATTCGATCTGTTGGTGGTGGTTAGTTAGTTTTTGGGGAGTAAGCTTTTATTTTAGTTTTTCATATCCTGAGAATGTCCTGCCGCCACGCTTCCCCACTCCGGCTGATGCTACTGTTGCTAATATTTCAGAGCTCCACTTTGCTCTCTCTAAATGTTTGCCCACTTTTTTCCGAGGAGGGCTGGGATGGGTGATATGGGGGTTGGGGCTGTAGATGGAGGTCCTTTTTTCGCTACCAGTCAGCCAGCCAGCCAGCCAGAAAGACAAAAATCCAAAATGGCGTTTTGTGTGTAATTGTGTAATCCTCCTTCTTTTCTCACAATTTATGTATAATTTTTCTTGTTGTTGGTTTTTTAAAGGATTTTTCTTTTCGAATTTTTTTCACAATTTCCACTTTAGAATTTTCTTAATTTTTATTATTTTAAATATTTTTTAAAAACACTTTTTTATTTTATTAATATTTTTTTTTTTAATTCACAAACCAAAAAAAATTTTGTTTAACCAAAAATAAAAGTAATTTTCCAAAAATTTTTAAAAGGTTTTTCCATTTATGTTTCCTTTTTTATTTTTCTTTTTTATTTGAAATCAGAGATATTTAACCCATTCAGTATTTAGGGAAAAAAATAATTAAATTAAATTTTTAGAAACTCAAGAAGCGTTTTTGAATTTTGTTTGTGTGTGTGTGTGTGAACACCGCGCACCGCGTTTTTCTTTATTTCAAAACACTCGTCAGGTTGGTTGGTCGGTTTATATCGGACTGAAGAGGCCACACTTTGTTTGGCGAGAAATGCTTGTAATTCCAGCACAGCCACACACAGGCAGAGATTTCTAAATCACAGCCATCGTCAAAGCCACACAGACATTCCACCACATAAATGCACACACATGCACACACACACGAAAGCAGGCACGCACACACTAGTCACACGGACACACACAAAGCAGTTAAGCAAGGTTTTGGTTGGGGCTGTCTCATTTGTTGGATACCATTTGAGTTGAGGCGGTGTGGTGTGGTGAAAAGCTTTGCAATGCTGTAAAGAGAGAGAGAGAGAGAGAGAAAGAAAAAATTAACAACTGGGAGAGTAAAAAAATAGTTACTGTTATTTTCAATGAGAGTAAAAGAGAATTAGAGAACATCAACATAAAGAGAGGTGAGAATGCATCACTTCCTCCCCACACTCACACACAAACATGGCTGAAAGCGGAAATGCACTACAGAGGACATTTGAGAGCAGTAGATAGATAAACGAAAAAAAATAAATAATCGCAACATTTGGGAGTTGTCATTGCATTTCACAAAGAGGATGCTTCTATTTATATCTATATTCGTATTTGTCTGTGTGTGTGAGTGTGCCACAAAAAAAACGAAACAAACGTCCAAAATTACACAAAGCAACCCATAACATTGTCAACATGATACTGTTACATATTTCCAGGAATTGTTCAGATATTATAAACAAACATTGGGCAGGGGCAGATGAATACTAGAGCATAGGATCCTTATTTCATAGAAGACCAGAAGGTCCTGAAAGACTGAAGAATTGTTCTAAGAGATGAGATATTTGCCTTCTCATAGAAGAGAAGAAGGTTTTCTCTCATAGAAGTGCTGAAGGTCTTCTCATAGAAGAGACGAAGGTCTTCTCATAGAAGAGCTGAAGGTCTTCTAATAGAAGATCAGAAGGTCTTCTCCTAGAAGAGCTGAAGGTCTTCTAATAGAAGATCCGAAGGTCTTCTCCTAGAAGAGCTGAAGGTCGAAGAAGAGCACTCAGTCGGATCTTCTAGGAGAAGACCTTAAGCTCCTCTCAGCGTTTGATCTTCTCCCGTATAAGACCAGCGGTTAGTCTTTTCCCATAAAATACCTGTAGTTCGTTTTCTCTCCCATAGAAGACCAGCGGTGAGTCTTCTTCTCTCGTAGAAGAAGACCAGCGGTGGGTCTTCTCCCATGGAAGAAGACCAGCGGTGGGTCTTCTCCCATAGAAGAAGACCAGCGGTGGATCTTCTCCCATAGAAGAAGACCAGCGGTTGGTATTCTCCAATAGAAGAAGACCATCGATTGATCTTCTCCCATAGAAGACCAGCGGTTGGTCTTCTACCTGTAGTTAGTCTACTCTTTTATAAAAAACCTTAGTCTTCTCTTCCATAGAACACCAGTAGTTGGTCTTCTGCCACAGAAGACCAGTAGTAGGTCTTCTCTCATAGATGACCAGTGGTTGGTCTTCTCCCATAGATGACCAGTGGTTGGTCTTTTCCCATAGAAGAAGACCAGCGATGGGTCTTCTCTCCCATAGAAGACCAGCGATGGGTCTTCTCTCCCATAGAAGACCAGCGATGGGTCTTCTCTCCCATAGAAGACCAGCGATGGGTCTTCTCTCCCATAGAAGACCAGCGATGGGTCTTCTCTCCCATAGAAGACCAGCGATGGGTCTTCTCTCCCATAGAAGACCAGCGATGGGTCTTCTCTCCCATAGAAGACCAGCGATGGGTCTTCTCTCCCATAGAGGACCAGCGATGGGTCTTCTCTCCCATAGAGGACCAGCGATGGGTCTTCTCTCCCATAGAAGACCAGCGATGGGTCTTCTCTACCATAGAAGACCAGCGATGGGTCTTCTCTCCCATAGAAGACCAGCGATGGGTCTTCTCTACCATAGAAGACCAGCGATGGGTCTTCTCTCCCATAGAAGCCCAGCGGTTGGTCTTCTCCCCCATAGAAGCCCAGCGGTTAGTCTTCTCTCCCATAGAAGACCAGCGTTTAGTCTTCTCTCCCATAGAAGACCAGCGATTAGTCTTCTCTCCCATAGAAGACCAGCGGTTGGTCGGTCTTCTCCCATAGAAGACCAGCGGTTAGTCTTCTCTCCCATAGAAGACCAGCGGTTGGTCTTTTTCTTCTACCGTAGAAGACCAGCGGTTGGTCGGTCTTCTCCAATAGAAGACCAGCGGTTAGTCTTCTCTCCCATAGAAGACCAGCGGTTGGTCTTTTTCTTCTCCCGTAGAAGACCAGCGATTGGTCTTCTCTCCCATATAAGACCAGCGATGGGTCTTCTCTCCCATAGAAGACCACCGATGGGTCTTCTCTCCTATAGAAGACCAGCGATGGGTCTTCTTTCCCATAGAAGACCAGCGGTTGATCTTCTTCTCCCGTAGAAGACAAGCGGTTGGTCTTCTTATCCCGTGGAAGACCAGCGGTTGGTCTTATTCTCGCGTAGAAGACAAGCGGTTGGTCTTCTTCTCCCGTAGAAGACCAGCGGTTGGTCTTCTTCTCGCGTAGAAGACCAGCGGTTGGTATTCCCACATAGACTATCAGTTTGTTTATCTTCTTATTATTGATTATCGACCAAATGGCCTTCCTATTTGGAAAGGTCAAGTTATATTCTCCCACATTAATATGTCAATATAAATCAATCATACGACGCATTGGTCAACATCGAATTCACCACTTCTTACCAATTGTTCCCATAAACATCTTCCCTTTTTTTGCATCTCTCAAAACATCAAAATGTCATATGTATAACGTTTATAAATTTTTACTACAAAATTTTACGCGCTATTCAGGAGTTTTTTCTTTGATTTCCTCATTTTTCCCCCACAAACGGAAGACGAACTCACCTCAAACCACAACTCTCTGCCCATCTTGCACATGGTATAAATTATATATTTTCTCAACTGCTGTTTATATTTAAAACGTGGTGGTGGAAAGAGAGTTACCGCTGAGGGAGAGCACTCCAAAGAGCGCATGTTGACGTTTTTTCTTCCAACAACCAATACCAATGCAAGAATCAATGCCAAAGTTGTTATGTATTTCTCAGTTGTTGGTGTTGCTCATATATATTTTTTGTGGATATATTTGTTTGTGTATTTGTGTGTGTGAGTAAGTGAGTTTTTGGAGTTTCGTCGTATGAATTGGAGGCGTACATTTGGTATGTTTTATAAAGGGAAGTTTGTTTGAAATTTGGTGGCTTTATTTATTGAATGTCCTTCGTTGAAGCAGGAACGTTTAGCAGTCTGTTTATTTGAGTGCATCATGCGGAGATTGTGGGATTTCGTTAATAATAATTTAAACAAAAATTGGCTGCAGAATGATACTAAAATTGGGAAAGAAATATATTTGAAACTTATTACATCTCCAAGGAATATTAGAGAGTGTAAAAATTTAAATGTTTTTAAAAGATTGAAGTAATTTAAATGAAGAAAGTGTTGTGATATTTCTGCCAATTATAAGTGGTTTAATTTTGAAATCAAAAATTAAATAAAGCATAGATGTCTCAAGAAAAACATTTTCGATAAATTTCGAAGACAAATCTTACAAAGAAGTCTTTTAATGGCTACAAAAAGAATAACATTTAGAACTCGACGACCATATTAAAGAAATAACAATTTTATAAATAGTGGCAATGTTTTTTTTTTTTTTTTTTTTTTTTGGTAACCTTTTTTTATAATTGGAACTAATTTATCGAATTCCCTCCAACATTTGGAACGAATTCGGAAATTTTCAAAAAATAAAATCCTTAAAAAATTCTGTTAAAATTTTAAAAATACCGAATATAGCCATTATATTGGAGTCTATACGACTTGGACCTACATAGGCATTGTTTGTCATAAGCCATTACCGTATTCAAATTCGAAACTTGAAATAAACGGTGAATAATGTAGCTAAAATCATCAAAATATCGTATAGAGGGAGGTACTTATATATGGGGCCTATACGAAGACCTGGACCTGCATTGACAATTTTCTGTCACAGACTTTAGTTCCCATTACGAACTCAAAATACGTAATATAAAACAATTCCGGTGAATAATGACGCTAAAATCATCAAAATACCGAATTTTGGGAGGTACCGTTATATTGGGGCTATACGAAGGCGTGAACCTGCATAAACAATTTTCTGTCTTAGGATTTAGTATTCATTGCGAACTTCAAATACCAAATTTGACACAATTCCGGGGAATAATGTCGCTAACATCATCAAAACACCGAATATCGGGAGGTACCTTTATATGGGGGCTATACGAAGACGTAGACCTGCATAGACAATTTTCTGCCTTAGGCTGTACTATGCATTACGAACCTTAAATACCAAGTTTAAAACAATTCTGGTGAATAATGTCGCTAAAATCATCAAAATACCGAATATCGCGAGGTACCGTTATATGGGGGCTATACGAAGACGCGGACCTGCACAGACAATTTTCTGTCATAGGCTGTAGTGTCCATTACTGTAACCTGGCTACTGGAAAAATAAACATTTGTGCAAAATTTTAGCCATCTATCTCAATTCATTCGAAAGATAGCGTGATTACAACAGACAGACAGACAGACGGACATCGCTAAATCGACTTAGAATTTTACGCTGATCAAGAATATATATACTTTGTGTTACAAACGGATTGACAAAGTTAATATAGCCTCCATAGTATGGTGGAGGGTGTAATAGTGGAATTTAGCTTGAAAGTAGCTATGGATCTACAATTCGATGGTTGTTATCGTT